TTTGTCAGAAATCGGACGCCTTCATCTTCCAGAAGCTTTACTCTCCTTTCCACAATAAACTTGTCAAGCTTCATTGTTGGGATTCCATACCTAGGGAAAGTTCGCAAAGCATGCCAATGTTGATATAGAACCTCAATATGTCTACCTCAAAAGACCACCAACACGATTCTTCCGTTCGTAGACTACCACAGTATGCCCGACTTTGACAAGCTGAGCTGCGGCTGCCATTCCTAGATTTTGTTCAATAGATCTTTTGCAATGTAATAATCTTTAACGGTCCTTAGCAAACTGCTTATTACCAGCAGGTCCAGATCCAATGATGGCAATGCGTTTTCCCGTATTTTCCGTTGGCGGACGTGCTTTAATCCATCCTTGCATGAACGCGTAATCAATAATAGCACACTCAATAGATTTGATAGTGACGGCAGTTGAACTAATTGCTAGCAACATGCCCACTAAAATGCAAATTTTAAATGAACCAAGAACTCTAAAAGAACATGATAACAAAATTTAAACGGTACTGCGTAAATTACATCAAATAGTTGAGTAAAAACTCTAGGAAAAACATCAAAAAAGAATATTTACATTTGCTTGACCGTAATTCATGGAAGTGTTACTTTTTGATTGTTGTAATTTTAGAAAATGGATAACGTCTATAGTCACATATATGAAAATCAGCTTGTAAAGAATGTTGGCGATTTCTCCAGAACTATCACTGCATTTCAATATGTAAAGTTTTTTGCAAAAAACTAACTTCACATGGTGCGGGACAGACTCTTCCAGTGAATTCTGGGAAGTTGTTTGTCTGTAGCAATTGTTCAAGAGCTTGACGCCAATTCTTCTTGAATACATAGTCATTCCATTTTAGATTAATGTTTCCTAGAGGGCACCCGGTATTTCCTTGACAGAATGGTACACCACAGTTCATGCATCTGTAAGATATGGAATATAGATGCAACATGCAGGAAGAAGATGCTTGAGGAAAAACTGAACACTTCGCAGCCTGCTCGCGAATATTGCTTCGGACGGATTC